GGAAGATTTCCGCTACCGCCTTTGCGCGGCCAGCGTAGTTTTCTCTTCGCCGAGCCGTCGGAAGCGGGACCACGCGCGAGCGCCTTCCGTTTGCGAGGTGGGAACGCGTTCCAATCCCAAAATCAAGTTATGCCATACTTGATTATGATGTTGTGCGAGGGAGGGAGGGAATAGGCGGGGCCTTTTGACTCGCTCGACCTGGCTAACATGACTCCTACTACTCCCGCCCGACCCTGCTTCTACGCCTACTCCTCTCTCCTCTCCTCTACTCTATTCTACTCTACTCTATTCTTACTCTGCTCTACTCTTCTCTACTCTACTCTGCTCTGCTCTGCTCTACCCTACTCTACTTCTGAGTGTAACGATTGTTGGGGCGCGGATACAGAAGTAGCCATGCGGATGGGAGGAGGGGGGGGAGGAAGAGGAGCCGAAAGGCAACGTGCGCTGAAACTGCAATGCGTCGGCCCTCGGCCGAGAACGACGCAGCATGCTGAGGACAGTCGGGGTGACAAGGTGGCCGTGCTGTGATCGCAGGCGGCCGGAAAAAGTCGGGGACGCAGCCTCATATTGCCTAGCCTGTGTGTTCCTCCTCCTTGTCCTCCTCCTCGTTCCTCCTCCCCCGTGCCCAGCCTGAGTCTAGAGCGATCGTGATTTTGCCTCTGCTACGCTCGGCGTTGCGATCGGCTGTCGTTGTGTTTTATATAAGTGGTTGGACGCCGCAAGGGTTTCGCACACAATGCATGTGGTCGAGAGTTGCTGGCGCTGCGAGCGGTGGTGAATTCTGTCCAAAAAACAAAAAGAAGTAGCCATGCGGATAGCAGAGCCAGCCATGCGCATACCACGGAAGCCGTTCGCATAGTTTGACCGTGCCAGGGCAAGCCAGAGGGTGGGGTCTAGCGGGCCTGTTCTCTAGGGCTTGAGCTCGGACTCCTAAAGCCTACAGGCAAGCTTGCTCGTCTTGTTTCGCGACGCGGCGAGGGGGTCGGGAAGACGGAGGGAGGGACGGAGGGATGGATGGAGGCAGGGCGGGAGGCGTGGCCCCCGAGGCCACCCTCCCCCCTCGTGGGACAGCGGCGTGGCCCTCGCCCGCGAGCTCGTGGACACGGACGGCTTCGCCCGGCGCGCCACCCCAAGGGGCGCGGCTCGCGGCTCCGGGCAGGCGGCTCGCCCCAGCGGCGCTTCCTTCCGCGGCGTCCTCTTCGTCTCGGGGCTGGCCAAGAGGGGGGTGATGACCAGGGCTGGGGTGGATACCATGGCCTGGGCCACGATATCTGCCCAGATTTCATCGTCCCTCTTCTTCTTCTTCTTCTTCTTCTCCTTCTTTCAATGCGGTTCTTGGCCGCTCCTGGGCCGCGCCGCACATGCTTGGACGCCCCCCCCCCCCTCGGATGCCCCCGACTGGTCTGCGTCGGCGTCCCCAGACCACAACGCAACAACTTCTCAAATAGGGAACGGCATAAGCATAAACTTTCGGAGGTCCGCGTGGATTCCTCGGATCTGCGTTGGGCCCCCCGTGGCGGCGCACCAGGAGGGGCGTCAGCGCCGAATCAAGAATTCAGCATGTAAATCCGAAACTTCATCTATATGCAGCTCTTACTTTCTAGAACTGACGATATCAAGCCCATGATATTCGATAGCTTGTTTAGCAGGTTCGCTGTGTAGGCTTTCGGCGGACACCCCGGCTCGTCAGGGGGGCCTGGGCAGGAGCATCAATGGTACGGCCCTGCCTGTTGCCAGCACGCGCGCAGACCCTCTCGCGCTGCGGAGAAATTGCGACGCGAGATGTTGGTGCATGTTCGGCTTCCAGCTTGAATCACCGCGGTGGCTGCTGAGGAGAGGGGTTTCAGTGGATTCCAAGTGCCTTACATACATGGCATAACATAGTTTTCGAGTGGGCTAGAAAGTCCCTACATGGATTAGGAGGTAAAGTTCTGGGCTAAGTGGGCTCCGCACACTGAGCGAAGTTTTCAAACCCACCCAAGCCATTCAGGGCATTTGTAGTAGCCTCCTTATAAGCTAGATTAGGCCAGATACAACCCACCTTAGCATCCAATCGTAACCCCCTATCCCCTTAGCAACCCCCGCGGCGATCCAAGTGGGGCCCTCGCCAGGCCTTGGGACCCGCACAAAGCGACCCAGGATGAAAAGCCGATCCTGGGGAAGGGGTCCAGACCTTCGGAGGCTGGATCACCTCAGGCATACAGTTTGTCGTTGGCTATCTGTGTCCTTGGTGAAAGAAGGTCGACCTCGGAGCCACGCGCCTCTCGGCGACGCGCCGGCCTGCCTTTAAGAAGGCAGGGTGCCTCTCAGCAGGGATCGCCCCCCTGAAAGCCAAACACCCCGCACCTTCAGAGCCCATGGAGCCTCACTTGGAAGGCCGACCCCCACGTTGCTTGCCAGCAGTCCTCCGGGGCGGAGGTCGGCTGCAGAAAGCACGCATTCCGACCTGGATCATAGGCAGCTGGTCGGGAGCAGGCTGTCGAGAGCGCCTCCGCCTCCAGGAGCAGGCCTCGCACTGAGAGGGGCCTCGTCCTTGGGATGGTGACCCTGAGGCTCTGGAGCACACCAGTAAAACCCAGTGTGTGGCTCGAGGACTCCGGAAGCAGTGTATGGCACATATTTCAGGAAATGCCAACCCCATCCGTGGTGTTTGGCCATGTTGTTGCTCGAACGCACGACCGTCGACATTTTGATTAACAAGTATGACGTTGACGGTCATTCCAGGACCGGCTGTGGTAGGTCTTTAGCAAACCTCGAGTACATGAAATGCGCAGCATCCCGCAATTGTGGATAAGAGTGAGAGGGCGGCGGGGTTGTCGGCAGTCTGTGAGGCTCTGATGAACCCCGCCGCAGGCGTCTACTTTTTTAACACACTACACCGAGCCCGACGCAGAGGTGCCGATCTTACTTCGTCGAACGTGGGTGGGTCGCGGGTGGGCGCGGGGGGTGTCGCGGGGTGGGTCGCGGGTGGGTCTCGTGGTGGCCGCGGGGCGGGTCGCGGGTGGGTTGCGGGCGGGTCCCAGGCGAGGGCGACGACAAAAACAACAAACAAGCACCAATGATTAAATTCGGATCGCGTAGTCCCCTTTCAGCCACGCACCCAGTGAAAGTGTAAGACCGTTCGGCCCCCTCACTCTGATTTGCGCGTGTTTGACCTTCTCGCGATTACGTGGGCCCATGTTTACCGTCATTGCCTCTTTTGTCTCAGCTCCCTCCCGTGCGTAACTAGAACCGATCATCCACGAATGTTTGATCCTCTATGGCTTATCGACCAGAGTTGCCAATATGGGGTTGGAGCCATAAAAGACGACTGCATGGCATTTTGTTGTTCGTTTGTTTGTTTGTTTGCTTGTTTGTTGTTTAAGACGAGTTCTGCAGGCGAGATAGTTGAGATCTATGCGGTTTCGCATGCTGCTTGAGCGCTGTGTAGTTGCCAGATCAGTCAAGCCATGGGAAGGCGAACACAGCCCCCCTGCAGGCTGTTCGACCTCTCTCCAGATGCCTGGATTTTTCCTTCTCCCTCCTCCAGAATTGCACATCATGGATACTACTCTTCTCTCTCCCCTGACTCCGTCCGGAAGATAGCCAGTTTTCTCCGCGTATTGGTTTCACCGAATTGGACAGCGTTTTTTTGTTTGTTTCAGGTGTTTTTTTCAATCTGCTCGATTGTGGTGTTTCGACATGGTGCTCCCGCTGTAGCATGGGCCTCGCTTTCGGATCGGCACTTTGCTCCCGTCGTTCAGACTGGCGCTCTCGCCCCCAGCGCAGGCCCCATTAACATCGTTGTCGGCCTCCTCATTTCCCCTCCTCCTCCTTCCCGTGGTCATCCTGCTCCTTCCGCTTCTTCCACTCCAGTTTCTACTGCTGCTGTTCGTCCGCGTCCTCCTCCTTCGACCTCCTCCTCCTCCTCCTCCTCCTCCTCCTCCTCCTCATTGTCCTCCTGCTCATCCTCCTGCTCACCCGCCATCTCCTCTTCCTCCTCCTCCTTCTCCTCCTCCTCCTCCTCCTCCTCCTATGTGCGCAGAAAACGTGTTCCGACAGGGCATTGTACAATGTGGTCTTTTTCGGGAGTTCCAGGTCGGCCATGACACGCGTCCGCGAATAGAGAAATAATCAGCGCAATAGGAAGGGATGGGAGGGAGAGATAGTATCTCAGATGTGGCGCGTGCGCACCTAGCCTGTCCTGTCTCTCCTCTCCCCTCCCAGGCAGTGAGTCTCAAGGGGGTCACCACTGGGGAGGTCGCAACCTCCTCGAGGAATCGTGCCCCTGTGGAACCCCCAAGACCCCCGAGGTTTCCGAAAGGCGCTCAGAAACGTCACAGGCCTCCTTGATCATCGATCCCCCCCCCTCCTCCGCGATCATCGATTTCCAGGAAGTGGTGGTGACCTCCCGAGTGGTGACCCTCCTTGGCGCTGCCCGACCTCTTTCGCCGCTGCCTTCTTGCCCCCGTGCCCCCCTTCCTGGGGAGGCCCTGGGATGCTCCCAGGAGGTCTGGGCGGGTCCTGGGAGGGCCCAGAGACCCGGGGCATTGGGAGGCATCGGGGGGGGGGGCTTCTGGGAGGCCCTTCGCTTTTGGCATAGCTTTACCATCGGGAGGCCGCAGGCCTGAGGACTTCGAGGGCGAGATCGGCACGCGCTGGCCCAGATGCGTGGGGGTCCAGACCGTTGCATCACCGGGCGGAAGACGACGCAAACATGTAAGGGGGCTGCTCGGCGCGGTGGCGGAGATGTGATCGGACACAGGCGGTGACGTAGCGCCTTGGCCCGTGCGTGCCGGTGTGTAAGTTTTGTTCGCCCTTCATTGCCAACTCTTTAGGTCACTCCAGCGTCGTTTTCCGCACCAGCGTTCTCACGTGACTCTGTTGCCACATTTGGTTCGAGTAATGAATGTGCTAGCGCTCTCCAACACATTGCGTAGTGAGCCACATCGATTTACTTGATTTGATTTCGTGGAGGCATTATTTTATCAACGCTGCTCTCAGCGTGTGTGCGGTAGTCAATGCTTGACGATGTTCGATGGGGCCAGGTACTACCGATCATCATGGTCTTCGGAGGCTGCATCTGCTCGACAGTCGCCATGGAGGCCGTGCTGAAAGGGGATCCTCAGGCAGGGAATCTGTTCAGCCTGTCCAAGACTTTGTTGCTGTTGCTGCAGGGCCTTCCTGGGCGATTCTCGGGCTTCAAACCAGCCCGTGTTGCAGCGCCGCTGTCAAGCCACTTGCAATTCGCGTTGTTGTGGAGCACGATGTCGATTTTAGCAAACTACGCTTTCTCTTTCAAGATTAGCATGACGATGTTTACGCTGGTGCGGTCGAGCAACCTCATTGCGACCGTAGTTCTGGGTAGGCTCTTTTTCTGCTATCGGTATAGTCGGAAACAGATCCTCTGCGTTTGCGCTGTTTCCATCGGCGTATTCTTGGCATCGATGGGAGAGGCCAAAAGTATCCGCGCTCCCTCTGCGAGTTGCAGTGATTGCTCAGACGCAGTACCTGCCCGCGCGAGGACGGACGATGCAAGCGTGTCGGATGACTCTCTTTGGATCTGGATGCTGGGCATGATCTTGCTTGCCCTGGTTCAGCTGCTGCAGGGCGTCCTGGGCTTCGTCCAGTCTGGATTCTACCAGAAGTATGCGCACTTAGCAGACAGGAACCAGCTCAGCGACGAGTACCTGTTTACGTCTCAGATAGTTGCCCTCGTCCCACTGATACTCATGTTCGAGGACCTCGGTCTGGCCTCGAGCATCTCGGCCGCGCTGCGCTCCGAGGCCACCCCTCTCGCGCCCGTCCCCTCGAGGGTGGCATGGCTGATCTTTCACGGCGCCGCAGACGTCGTTTGCCTGAAGGGAGTCTTCCGGACCAGCTCCATCGTGTCCCCTTTGACGTTGGGCATCATCCTGACCGTGAGGAAGTTTCTCTCCACCATCGTGTCGGTCGTGTGGTTCGAAAGCCCTTGGACGGTCCTGCACAGCATAGCTGCCGTCCTCATATTCAGCGGCTCGCTCGCTTACTCCGAGGTGGAGAATACCACCAAGAAGTCCGACTGACCCGCCTGTCGCGTGCGCCTCCCGTCCTGTCGCCTGCCCCGATCCTGCGCTTGGCGGCACATCTCGCGTGGGCCTTGCTCCCCTCCCATGGTCGGCGAGGGTAGGCTGAGGGCGGGCTCCTCAAGCGGGGCCGTAGTGAACTACCGAGCGGTGTCCTCGTCAACGCGTCTGCTCTTGGCTCGACAGTCTGGCCTCAATGTTGTCTGGTAGGGATCTGGCGGCTGGTGGTGCAGCCATGGTCACTGCACTGTTCCATGGTCACAATCAGGGTGCGTGCGTCAGCATGGTTTAGCAGATCCCCATCCCCATCCCCATCCCCATCCCGAGCCCCACCATTTCACCACCCCAGTTGGGGATATACCCCTCGAAGTCCGAAGGGAGCAGCCTATATCCCATCTAGGGGGGCAAATCGGCCAGTGGGGCCCAGGCCACACCAGTGGGGATAGGGATCGGTTAGACGATGCTCAATGCGTGGGCGAGCGCAGGGATGGGTTTCATATGCAGCTGTGGCAAGGTAGCACCACGAGCTGCTCTTTTTGGAGCCCCCGTCAAAAAATGGAGTGCGTGATCGTGCCCTGCCTGGCCGACGCCGTTCCCAGGGCCTGCAGGCGGTGGTGGTGGCTGGGAGCTGTGCAGGTCACCAGGCGAGGTGGGCACGGCCAAGTTTACCTGCGACCACCAGAGAGAGTTGGGGATTGCCCGCCAGGCGGGTTCTAACATGCGTCTCGAACTGTCTCACTATGCGCTTACCCCTGGCATCCGGGCTCTTTCTGGGCATTGGATGGTGCAGGACCGCCCCAGGGACCTCCCCCGAGAGCCAGTCCGCCCCAGAAGTATCCCCAGAACCAGCCGAACAGACACCCGACGCCAATCAGGTGCCCGCCACGGGCCCCAGAATTGTGAGACAGAGTCGGTCGTCTTCACTCTGTCGAGCCGCCGAGCCGCCCAATGTCTGGGCCCTTCCAGGTTCGGGGGTCGACCATCGGCCCCGGGACGTCCCAGTGTCTTTCCTGGAGGTTGCGCTCTGGTCATGATTTTCGGGGTGGGATCCAGCCGTGGCCACGAGAGCACCCCAGGTCAGGTTTGCCAGGCGCTTCAACGGCGCATCGGCAAACGAAGCTATCTTGAACTTCGCACGCGTCCTGGACACACGGTCAACTGCCATCGGGGGGAGGGGGAGGAGGCGGAGGACAGGGGAGCGAGAGGGAACACATCCAGAACCCTTGTATAGCCTCGATCCTCGAAGCCCGAGCGGCTCGGTCTGTGGCAAGGGGGGGGAGATTGGGACAGTCAAGTATTAATGACAACAAGAAAGCCAATAGTAACACTAACATGAGCAAACATAACACAATATGATTAACAGTGGTAGCCATCGTGGACCCCTAAACAGTAGGTTCTTGCAGTCTTTGCAATACAATATATATATGTGGTGCAATTGATTTCAACCAACGGGTTGACACATCCCACACTCTTGCAGGCATCTCACCCACCCACCCACCCGCAACTTGGCTTGCAAAACCCATGCGGTGGCAATTGCGATGCATGCTTGGCGTTGGCTGGTACATCCCTGCGGCCGCGCCAACCCAAGCGCGCGCGCAGCGGCCAGCTAGCTTGGCGCGACCGACGCGGCCGCGGTGGCGCTGGCCGCTGCGCGCATCCCAGCGGGCACTTCAGTGCGAGTCGGCGACTTGGGCGGGAGCGGTCTCATGGCAACGTCGACAACGGTAGACACGATTGTGATTGTAGCGATGTTGTGGCAATGTTGACAACGACAAAGGTGCGGCCAGTGCGGGCGCCGATGTTGATCACGCCGACGACGATGACGGCGTCCTCGCGTCGGTGATGAAGGTTTTGGAAAGAGTTCGACATGCGCGCGCGGCAGGCGCGCGGGAGGATGAAGAGGAGGAGGAGGAGAGGAAGGAATAAGGAAGGAGACGTGGGACGCTGTCTCTGCAAAACGAGGACCCATCTCCACAGGATGTTTGTGCATAGTACTCAGACGAGTAATCTCTAACATTGCACGAATAAGAATATACGAATCTGCATCAGCATAGACTTCGCGAGGTCCATGACATTTATTGGATCGGTGTTGTATTCCTTGGCAGCAACTCCGGTTCCGCTCCTGGCGCTCTCCACGCGTGAAGGACACCAGTCCAGCGCAGATCCAAGAAATCCGGGGCTACTAATGGGTAGTGGTGGTCCGAAATTTGTTGTATACAGATGGTTTCATTTCTGCGCCGCCGGGCCCTTTCCTATACATATATATATATGTGTTATATATACATATATGTGTATATATATATGAACATATATATATATATATATATATATATATATATATATATATACACATGGCCGCCTCCAGCGCCCAGAGTGGCCCGGGAAATCAGTTGCAGGCATCTGATTTGCTAACACCCCCTTTGCTGCCCTTCCCTCGCATTAGCCCAGAGAGGCTCTACAGGTCTCGACCCCTTGCCTGAGGGTAGTTTGTCGTGCTCGATGAAAGGCTGCGGCGCGGGCCACCTCCTAAAGCTACGGTCGATTCGTGTAGTGTCGACGCGACTGCGAGCCCAGCGCGGGCGCTCAAGGTCGAGTGCCGCCAGTGGCCCAGAAACGGCCGATGTCGAGCGACCCTGTGCGATCGGGAAGCCGCGACCGTTGTTCAAGGTTGAATGATCCATGCGGTGCTACCATCAGGATTGCCACATAAGGATCGACCGGGCACTGCTGGCTGCGGCGAGCCTTGGCTAGGAATGCGGTCCCCGACCTAAATCTAAACCTAAGCAACGGCCTTAAAACCATAGCCCCTTCTGAGCCTAGAGTGGTCCTCATGTTAGCGTCTTGTCAGTATCCTCGTCGCTCGGGCAATTGCTCGGGTCTCCAGCGGCCGTTCCAGATGTTTCGGGCAACCCTGGAACGCTCTCAGCGAGGCGCAGCTGCTGGAGAGCATCCCGAGGCTGGAAAACTGCCGAGCGCCGACAACGCATGACATTGTACTACGAAGCCCCCGTGTCTCGGCGACGTGCTGAGGGGAGAAGTGAGATGGGACCGGCTTTCTCAGAAGGTAGCGAGCGGGACTTCGGAGAAGGCTTAGAACACTTCTCGGAAAGCCAGGGGTCTGCTGAGCCCTCTCAGAAGGCCGACCCCTCTGCCTTTCCCCCTTGGCGCGCCTCCGAGTTTCGTCCCGCCCCGGCCAGGCGGCGCCCACGGCGTGGCCCCGTCATTGTCATCGTCATCGTCATTGTTCCGTCCCGCTCCCTTCGGATTTAACCTCGTGTGAGGTTACAGTCACAGATCGGCGCTGGGATATCCCTCGTCGGAAACTGGCCTAATCTGGCGGAGCCCCGCTTAATCCAGTGCAGCCCCGACTAATCTGGCATAGTCCCGCTGAATCTGCATCTCTCTCTCAGATTTTTATGCGGCCGAATCCGGCTCAATAGCCCCTCAGTCGGGCTTCATGGCCCCTATTGGTTCTGACGACGGCCTACCAGGTGTTGCCTCCAAACCTCGAATGAACAAACAACGGCATACATATAATTTCTCGGAGGTCCGCGCGGATTTCTTGGATTGGCGCTGGCCGATCGTATTGGGATCCGGCTCTGGAAGCAACGCTGCCCCCCCAGCGACCTCCAATCTGGAACCGCCCCCGAACAGGCGGCGCTCACGGAGGTGCGGGTGCTGCGGCGCGGGTCGTGGTCGGTCACCGGCGCCGGCGCGGCGCGGGGGCGCCTGGCCGCCTCGCTCGTGGAGGCGCTGTCGGGGAGGGCGGGCGGCGCCGATGGCAGCGCCTCGGAGGAGCATCGACGACGAGCGTCGCCGTCGTGGGGCGCGGAGCGCGGCACGGGCGGCGCCCAGGGGCGGCCGTCTTTCGGGGGTTCGCAGGGGGGGTGCTGTCCCAAGGGGAGGGGGGACATGCCCAGCTGGAGACTCACTTGCTCTTTGCGATCTTCCTGTAACCCCACCTTTGCCCCTACCCCACCTTGACGCCCCCTTGAGTCTGGACTTTGTCGAGCCGCCTGACGCCTGGGCCCTTCAGGGTTCGGGGGTCGACCATTGTCCCGAGGACATCCCAGGGCCTCTCCGGGAGGTTGTCCTCTGGTCGGACGGACGGGGGGGGGATACTGGGAAAGTTGAAGAATCAACAACCACATAAACATACATTTTCGGAGATCCACGCGGATTTACGGCATCGGCGTTGGATCCCTGGGCAGCGCCTACGGCGCCCGCTGGCGCTCTCCGCGCACTAGGTGGGGGGATCCGGTGCAGATCCACAAGATCCACGCGGACTTCCGAAAGTTTGTGCTCCTGCCGGGTTTCCTTCTTCTTCAATTCACTTGGGGCTCCTCGTCGCGGCGGTGGGACCCGCCTCGAGGTTCGGGTCAGACTCCACCCCAGGAGAGATGCCAGGGCCGCGCACCAGGGGTCAATCTCTTGCCCAGGGTCAATTCTGCGTTCAGCCGAGCCGACTTCCCCCCTCGCTGCCGTTCCCACGATCCTTCCTTTCTTTCTTCCTTCTCTCATTTTTCGGACACTGCAGCATTGCTCGCATCGGCGAGGGTTGGACGCGCCAGGTCGCCGGCCAGAGTGCACGTTGGTGGAGCCCCCGTCGGGCGGGGGGGGCGACTGACTGCACGTAGGAGACCCGTGTTTCAGGCCCAGAAGAGTCCCAGACCTCCAACGGCTTTAACAATACCAATTATCTTGGCGAAGGGCCCAACCATGTGCAGTTGTGAATGTGAGGTTTGCGCCGAAATGGAGGTGGAACTGCATGCGGACCCTGCCACTGGGGCCTTCGGCGGAGCTCCCTAGGGGGCCACGAAACGTGTGAGGGGTATGCCGAAGTGTAGGTGGAACTGCATGCGGACCCTGCCACTGGGGCCTTGGGCGGAGCACCCTATGGGGCCGCGAAGAGTGCGCGGAATGCGCCGACATGGAGGTGGAACTGCATGCGGACCTTGCCACTGGGGCCTTGGGCGGAGAACTCTATGGGGTCACAATCC